AAAGAGGGAGCATAGTTCTGTATATGAAGCACAAAGCCTTTAAGCTTTGTACCATAAAGTTATACAATGGGAAATAACTGCAACCTATAACTGAAATACAGCACTGGCAGGTAAGTTACCATCTGACAAGGAAAGGAGTGTGGTGAATTTTAAATCTCTTTTAAGTGACCATTAATAAGAGAAACTTAATTACCAAGCTATGCGTGGGGTGTGGATATAGATAAAACAGCATACTCTGCAACTATTTTTCGTTTGCAAAATTTGCAGCTGCAATTATTAAATTACCTAAACTCCCTCCTCCCATGCACATTGGCCTTACAAATAGGAGCCAAGCTCTTTGATTCTGTATTCAGGATAGAATTCATGCTGCTGTTTCCCTTCCCCTGCTCTTGCCTCCTGAACTTAAAATTAGTTTTGACGGTAACTCATGGGTCTCAGATCAGATTAAAGGTAAAACCTCTTTTTGAATCCTCACTGCAAAAAGAGGAGCAGAACTTTTTGGCAGGAAGGATAGCCTTTTCTAGCAGGAATAGAGCTGTAATTTTTGCTAGAAGCCAGCTATTTAAATAATCTTTCAGGTAGATCATTGCTTTGGGCCTTGTTCCTCTTAAGTACTTGTCTAAAAAAGCGTATTAATGTCTACATGCTTAAAGTTTTCCAGATCTAAGGTGGAGCCCGGAGAACAGAATAGAAACAACATCAGTACAAAGGTAGATCAGCTGGTGACATAGCTAAAGATTGAAATCCTGCCAGTTGATACCTAATATGTGTGATGTTTTAAAACTCTTAAGAAGTTGTAATCATGAGACTATGCTCTCTTTCAACACTGTTTCTAAAGATAGTGTTAAACAAAAACCTTTCTTTGATGGATAACTTGCTTGTTTTCACACTGGCCAATGAGCACGTATGGCTCTGGGGAAGATTACTGCACTCCATAGTCATACTATGCTGGTTATATTCTTACTAAGTAGTTCTGCAGTTCTGCTCCTTGATGCAGACCAAAAGTCTGTCAGTAAATGACACAGATTAGAGAAAGCAAATTAACATCTTAAATGCTGATAACAGTAGCTGTACATTTTGGTAAGTGTGGTGGGTTTTGCTGTTTACCTTTTTTTGGCTTACAGGAAGTTTATCTTAATATACGTTTTTTTCCTTATAAAGTTCAGTTGAATGCAGTAAAATGTCATTGGATGGATATGGGGGAATAGGTCTATCACAGAATCCTTCCAAACTAATTCCTCATCTAAAGTGTACCAGTTCTCTTGGTGTTTGCTGAATAGGTGGGATAATATTCTAGCACTGGAGCTTAAGGGTTAGAATGTGAGATTTGTATTGGTAGTGAGAATAAATGCCTGGTTCTAATTGCACATACATGGATTTGAATGTTTGGTATCATTGTAACAAAAAAAGATAGACTTGCATGCAGATTAATATTTAGCAGTATCCTCCTATCTTCTCTTCTCCGCCCCCCCAATCAATTAACAAGTTTACCAGTAGAATAACACCTTTTTTCATTTTATAGCATTTTGCCAGGATTTTCTAAGCAGCACAATAATGTTGTGCTGTTCTAATAGATCACCTTTTCATGGAGTCTTATTCCATCTTTTTTTGAGAATGTTAAAGAAAAAACCCAACTCAGTTGTCAGATGAAAGGATGGTAAACTCATCTCAAATAAAAGACTCTTCTGAGATTGTAGTGAACTGAAGTTAAGCTTTTAGAAGACAGTGTTGTCATAAAGCTTGGCAGCTATGCAGCAGCCTGCTTTTGATCACATACCAAAAGAAATACCAAAATCTTCTAGTTGCTGCATGATAATGTGTGTTAAACTTTGGCTTTAGTCAGGCCATTCTGAAGGCTAGTGGGCTTCTAATAATTAATATAATCTATCTAAATAATAGAAGGGAAATTTCAGTTTTCATGGGGATTGGATCCATAATCAGTGTTGAGTCTGTGGCTGTTTAGTGCAGTTCTGTCAAACTCTTTCTGTAATGCAAATAAATGGGTTTGGGTTTTGGTTGGGTGTTGGGGTTTTTTTTAGTTGTTGTTTTTTTTTGGGGGGGGGGTGGTTGGTTTTCTGTTTTTTTTTTTGTTTGTTTGTTTTTTTGTTTGGGGTTTTTTGGTTTGTTTTTTTTTTTTGTTTGTTTTTTTTTTTTTTTTTTTTTTTTTTTTTTTGTTTTTTTTTGTTTTGTTTTTTTTGTTGGTTTTTTTTTTTTGTAAAGGTTGTTATTCCTGCTATTTAACACTAGCAAAGACTGCAGTGTATCGAAGTTACATCTAGCTGCAAAGACAAATAGTGTGGCAATGTTAGTAGTCACATACTTGCATGACACCATGACACTGTCCAGTATATCTTCTGGGAAATGGGAAGATTTCTGGAATAATGAACAACCAGTGTGATATATTGAATATGTTTTCAAACGTTGGCATCAAAAGTATTTGATGTTCTTATGTATTTCTGGCATGCATATATATATTTAAATCTACCTCTTCAGTCACAACACTTGTATCCTTTGTGTTAATATAAATCCAAGGGTTTGTATTTTGTTTGAAGAGTGTCAGTGTCTGCTAAAGAGATAATAGATGGTGTATAATTGTTTTTATATGGGGAGTTTAACTGTACTGTGGATTAGTAACAATAGCTTATGGCTCTTCAGGAGAAAATTGGTTCTTCATGGTAGTCCACAGTGTAATAGGTTTTCATCATCATAAAAATCCATCATTTCACTTAGTATTTCCTTTTCTTTGTGGATACTGCTAACCCATAAAACCACAGTAATTATATCTAATCGTTATTTTGTCCTTTTTGCCCTTCCTCCTATGGTAAAAAATCTTTTGGGTAGACTAGAACAATGTTCAGTGATCTCATTTAACTATTTAAAAAACTTAGATTGAAGTACTCTAGATAAAAACATGCGGTAAATTAAATCCGTGAATGCGGTCATCAGTGGTGTTTGTTAGTGTAGTACCTTGCATGAGTATATATTTTTATTGAACTTTCAGAAATGCAGAATTAAACAGTAAAACAAACAGCTCTTCTTCCACCCTGCCCCTGACATGCCGGAGTCTTAAAAGCAGGGAATGTGCATGTATAATAAATGGGACAGCTTGTACTTGCAGTTGTGAGTGAAAACTTGTTCAGACAAGTTCCCCCTCCCCCCTCAATGTGAGTAGACCTTGCCTGAATTTATGTAAGTCTGAAACACCTTCTTTAAAAATCATAGAGGAGTTATGGTTGAAAGGGACCTTAAGATCATCTAGTTCCAACGCCCCTGCCATGAGCAGGGACACCACACACTAAACTATGTCGCCGAAGGCTCTGTCCAACCTGGCCTTGGACACCGCCAGGGTTGGAGCATTCACAACTTCCTTGGGCGACCTTATTCCAATATTCAACTTTTTAAGGAATTATGAATAGTCTTTCATAGTCTTCCATATTCTTGACAGCCATAAAACATCTGTGGGTAGCTGATGGAAATTTGAGAGTCCTAACTTTTGCAGATCCATCCATGTGGGCATGTTTTATCTATACAGCCCCTTTTTAAAAACCTCGTAATCGTGTTCTGTGGCTATAGAAATCTGCTCATGTATGTCATGTTGGAAGAGTAAGACGAAAATGAGATTTTGCAGTAAGTAGTCTGTGTCGGAAGACTTTTTTATAAAAAGCTGCTGCTTGTAACTATAGTCACGTTAAATTTAACTTCAGATTAACTGTTGGCTCTTTCTGTTATGTGACCAGTTCTTCACTTGATTTCTCACCTTTGGGTATATTCTTGCTGTCTAATCACATGCTGAGATGAGACATGCAAGATATTTGTAGTCATCCAAGTTCTTCTCTGGGCTTACTGTGATCAATAACAAATTTCACTTGTATAATTATAGCTAAACTACTGTATACCTGCCTTGGGCAAAAAAGAATTCCTGTTCTTAGATTTAAAGTGCCTGAAGATTTTTAGCCAGTGCAGAGCATTATGAGGAATGTAGCTTGAAGAAACAATCTCAACATTTTTTTTACTTGTTCAAACTATTGGGAAGTTATATTGATCACTGTGGTAGCTTCTGCTGCTTCTTAGAAATGTCACTTCTCACTTCTTACTAAAATATCAATAAAATCAATACATGAACATACGAATGCCTGATGTATGAAGCTTGCTAGCTGGAAAAAACCCCAAACTTACCTAGTCCATTAAATACTCCAAGGAAATATAATCTTTATTCCTTGCTTGGACTTCAGGTCTTTAAACTCAATTATGTTATATAAAACATTTTAAAAGAATCTTACGAACAGAAAATGTAGGCTTTAACAAGGATTTCTTATGAACTGTAGGGTGACCTTTTTTCTTTTCCAAATAATTTCTGTGTCGGATATGGTGAGCTGGACTGGGTGGGGAACTTCTGAAACCTAGTTACTGGAATAATGATTTTCCATGGAGCTAATATAGCTGTTGATACAGCCTCAGTGGAAACATGACTTAATGCTTTTGCTTGTATAAAACCAAAGATGTAATATTTGGAATTCAAATGGGTAGAAAGTAGGCACTGATCCCCAGCAGAATCACAGCTTGATGCATATACGAAGATATGGAGTATTTATAGGTAATTTTTATGTTAATGTCATAATGCATCTGTGTGAGGTTTGGGTTTACAGCATGTAGTACTTTTCAAACTTATTCTATATGTGACTTGTCAGGAACCTGATGCTGCTGCTTATTAGTGGTGGCAAGATTTTTGTAATACATATCAAATAAAAGCACTTCTTTCAGGAAAATTAATTCCATAATAACTTCAAGGTAGGACCTTTTTAAAATATCTGTTCACTTAATAGATTTCAATTAGGGTTTTGAAGTTACATGAAGTAGTCATTCCATATTAACTCATGTCATAAGTAATTTCTAGTTTCAAGGCAGTAACAAACTAATGTTCTGTGCTTTTTCATTTTCATTTTTAGAAACTCATTCTAATTCATGAGCATTCATAATTGTTTGGTTTTTTTTCTCACACAACCTAAGGACAATATATTTTTGAAGTTCTTCAAGTATTCCTGCACAACGAAGAGAAAGAAGAAACATTTCAGTGAATGAGGAGTTTTTTGCTTCTGTAGTGTTTTCCTTGAGAAGTGGGTCTTTGAATGAGGATGACAATGGAAGAGATGAAGAATGAAGCAGAGACCACTTCTATGGTTTCCATGCCTCTCTATGCTGTTATGTACCCTGTCTTTAATGAGGTAAGCTACACTTTGCTCTAGAAGATAAGAATCCCCTTCACACTGGGAAATGTGATCACAATACTAGGTTGCTCATCTTTATTGGGAAAGATTTATCTAACACCATCTTCATTCTGTGCATTGTTTGGCCTTGATCTTTTTTCTTACCTTTTACAGAGGATTGTCACAAAAATGCTAGGTCTGGTGTTCTGTGGCAGGAAGTAACACACAGTTGAACATGTACCTGTAAACAGCTTGATACGTTTTAATTTTGCTGCCAGTGGTTATAACTTAGTGGGATATTTGGATTTTTGTGAGTATCAGGGGTTGTCAAGATGTTCTCATAAGCTTCTGTCAGCTTTCTGCTGTAGACTGGACAAATGCAAAACACTCCCAGTGACATGTTTGGTTTTTGGTTTATTTAGGGGGGGAATTCTTTTCTTTGGGATTAAACTTTAAAATATCTCTCCCTCAGATGAGACCAGTAATTTAAATGCTTGTCAGTTCCCTTTTTCATTATGCTATATAAGGCAAGGCATGAGTACTTGACTTGTTTTGTTCTGATAACATTAGAATTGATAATAACTCTAAACTTTATTGCAGCTGGAAAGAGTAAATCTATCTGCAGCTCAGACACTGAGAGCAGCTTTTATTAAGGTGAGAAGAGCAATTGTTTAAAAGGTAAACCACATTTGATGAAGCTAAAAAGTCAGATGTCTGGTTTCCTTGTGTCTTTGTATTTGAAGACTGCATCCTTGATGCAGTAGTCTTAAAAATGAAGTCGACAGTTGCATGGGCTGTAAGTTCGAGATGTCTGCAAACGTTACAAGTAGAAATCTGAATGCGACAAACATTGAGCAATTTTAAACAAACAGAAACTTGTCTTGTCCATGTAGTACAAGAACTTAAATGAGGAATTAAAGATAATAAACTTAGTCTAAATATAAGATTATGTAGAATAGCTAGGTGCTCTGAGAAATAGGCATGTAGCAGACTTTGAAAATGGTTTACAAAGTGAATAATGGGTAATGGGATTATTATTTTTGTGTGTGTGTGTGGATAAAGATAAGTTCAATGTATTTGCATCCAGCAGTAAATGGTAAAAAGATTCTTCTAACTTTTCTGTTATATTCCTAGAGAACAAAAAGACAGATACTCCTTTATATTGCTTTATTGAAGTAGTGATCTTTTGAAAATCTTTAAACAAGAGTAATTGTAGACATGACATACCTTAACATGTGAGCTCTGCGAATAAGTAACATTTTCCTGTTTCTACACTTAGATTTAAGTGTACCTAGACAGTCTTTAGTCTCAACTAGAGCTCATACAAGTTAAATGTCTTTACAACTGGTGGTAAGGAGCTGAGCTGAATGCAGATACTGTAAAAACTGAGATATTGGTAGAAATAGTAGCGGTAGCTGAAAAAGCCACACACCCTCATTCTTACTCAACACAGCATTTTTTTTTTGCTAACAGCGCAGGTAGTCTACCTTAGCTTTATTTAACTATGTCATCAGTGAAAAGGTTGGAGGGGTTTTTTTTTGTTTTGTTTAAAAAAAATAAACAATTCCAAGATGATGCTTGAGCATATGATATGATTCATAAGAAACACATTTATATAATGTCGTGTGGAGATGGGGGAGTAGCACCCGTTTTTGAGTGAATTAAATCCCAATGGGTACAATATCTTTCTCTCAAAGTTTAGTGTTTATAAAAATATAATAGAATATAGAATTCCTTGAAAAACTTTATTACTCAAATTGGAATGAGTGGAAAGGCTTATTGGAAAAGTTGTTTATACAAAATCACTGATGTAATCAAAGAAAATAGATGTTGTAGTGAAAGAATGGTTTTCAATACAATTTGCTGGTCTAAAGCCATTAGAAAAGTTTCTAGCAAACTCTTGCAGTATAGGAAGCAAGTTACATGAAAATCTTCCTTTGTGCTTGCAATATTCAGGTCTTGCGTATTTAAGAATAAAAATCTTCTTTGCCATACAGGCTGAAAAAGAAAATCCAGGTCTTACACAAGACATCATTATGAAAATCTTGGAGAAAAAAAGTGTGGATGTGAACTTCACAGAGTCTCTTCTGCGTATGGCAGCTGATGATGTAGAAGGTAATATCTCTTATGTTGAATAAGCATATTTTTAATTACGTTGTTAACTAGGAACGTGCATTTCTCCATGCCTATTTTCAAAAGAGGTCGTTTGTTTCTTAATAGACTTTTTTCAGCATGGTAGTAGAATATTTGTATTTTCTGAATAACTCTTTTGGAGAAGTTGTATCTCCTTAAAGAACATACTTGACTAATAAGAGAAAGAAGGAAACCAAATATTTAGAACTATGTTTATGTGGGTGGATAGTTCACATTTTGCAATGTTAACAACCAGAAAAAAACTTATATGGAGTTTAATATTCACTTTCCTTTTCTTCAAATTAAAAGCAATAATTACACTGTCAAAGAAGGGGAGCACACAGTAGGCTTTAGTAAATTAATGCTACATTTGATTAGTGTAGTGTCTTCAGCGTCTCAATTAAAGTAAGATGGACTCTCTTTCCAACTTATAATAATAAAGATTATTGTTGCACTGTGTTTCTATTGATGCAGTGTGTATTTACTGCAGTTTGCTGGTCATGGCTCACTCTGAGCTGTTCACCTTCAAATGTAACTTGGCAATACCGCTGCATTTTGTGAAGTAGTGTTTCTAGCATCACTAGATGATTGAGGAAGAGTAATGGTATTTTTAATATGTTGTTCTTGATAGAGTATATGATCGAAAGACCAGAACCAGAATTCCAAGATCTTAATGAAAAGGCACGAGCACTTAAACAGATTCTTAGTAAGATTCCTGATGAGATCAATGACAGAGTGAGGTTTCTTCAGACAATCAAGTAAGTACCATATTATGCATTTTTCTGCAGATAATGGGGTAAATTTTTCGTTTGGGTCTGAATACTCAAATGCCATAGGAGATGCTAGCAACACTGTTCCCATTGGAAAAGAGCATGATCCTTGCTTGTAAATGAGCAGAGAGAGTTGAGGATTTTTGGTGGGAGCCCCATATTACTAGACTGAATTTCACTTGCTGATTCCTTGTTTGAATTCCTATGTCAGTGGTCTAGGTCTTTGCATTTGGTCTTGCTACATCCTGTCTGACTCTTGTTTTGTAGAGACTGTTCTAAGAAGTATTTGGCTACTGCAAGGGGATTAAAGTCTGACATTTAAATAGGATAGCTTAAGGATATTAAAACTATCTTTTTATTGCCAAATAGGGACATCGCAAGTGCAATAAAGGAACTTCTTGACACAGTAAATAATGTCTTCAAGAAATACCAATACCAGAACCGGCGGGTATGTGCAGTAACTCCTTTTACACAATATTTTTAATGATACAAGAGGAAGCATATCCTTTTGATTAGAGAATGAATAGGAGAGCTTAAGTGGTCAATGCCATAACAGTCCTGTTGTTGAAGTACTGTATGGTAGGTCCTGGCCATTTAATAGCAAAAGGACAATTTCTCTGCATGTTTTTTGTAAGAAAATAAAATTTCTATACCTAGCATAATGTTAGCCAATTTTCTTACCAGTTTAACCTCGAGATTCTTACTGTACTCCACAGTATGTGAACTAAGACTGCTCCTTGTGCTTCTGTTTTCTTAGGCACTTGAGCACCAAAAGAAAGAGTTTGTAAAATACTCCAAAAGTTTCAGTGATACTCTGAAAACATATTTTAAAGATGGAAAGTAAGTATTTTTTTTGTACTAACGTTTTACATAATTAAAGGCCTTGTTGACAGGGGGAAATGGGACAATCTGTGGGGCATAAGCTGCCTTAAGAACCTGCCTAATTTTTTTTCTTACATGTCTCCACAGAGCATCATGACTGTTTTAAAATACTTTTATTCCTTTTGTAATGCCTTTAAGGAAAGGGAAGTTGGTTAAATGCACCACCATACAATACCAATGTTCAGTATTGACTTTGAACTTGAATATATGAAGCTAAATTTCATGGCCCTGTGTGGTTTTTCGCAGTGTATATTGAAGGACAAAAACTTAAGAATTGAATTATTGAAAAACTACTTGTTTGAAATACCATTTGCAAGAACTAAGTATCTGTGCAGTGTTTTCCTTGATTTACATTTTTATTGTCCTTTATAGTTCATTATAGTGCTTCACAGTATTTGGAATTAGCTGATTAATCTTTTCATTTGAACATTTTAGCCTTCAAACTGAGGCTTTTTTCAGGTCTTCCCCCTGGGTTTTGAAGTCGCTGTTCTTGTGTGTTTCACTGTAGTGTCTGTTTAGGATGAGTGTATCCTGCTAAGATTTTGATGGTACCGAAGTGTTCTATGTGCTGCTGTTTTAAAGGTCATAGAAGCATAGAATGGTTTGGGTTGGACTGACTTTCATGTTTGGTCTTGTTGAGCTCGGCAAAGACTTAAGAGCACCCACGGAATGGTACATTACTAAAGGAGAGAGAAGTCTTGAGACCAGCTGTGAATATTGCCTTGCTCTTATAAAAGCATTTTTTTTTATTGTTAATGAAATCGGGGCTGAATTTTATTATGATACTAAGGTCTAAATTTCTCTTTTTGGTAGCTTTATGATTATTGAACAGATGTATAGTTTTCACATGATAAGTTTTCACATGAACTAGGTTTAAGCAATCTCAGTTGATTAGAAAACTATTTGAAAAAATGGGGAAAGGGATGGATATGTTGAGCATGTACCCCAGCCATACTGAGAGACTAGCTTTATTTAGCCCTGTGTGAATTGAATGCTGTGCTGCATATTGTAGACGTAAGCTAAAAGTGTTAGGTATTATCATTATTGCAGGAAATCCCAGGTAAGGCTTGTATTTCATATCCTTGTGGATTCAGAAGTAATTTAAATCTGAACTATGCATTGAAGAAGTTGCTCTGCTCCCACCAGAAGATATCAGCACTAAATAAAAGTAATGCTCACCGATGTCATTACTGAGCTGAAAACGTCAGTGACCCCACACCTCTTTCTTAACAAAAAATATCTAAAAGAGTATGCTACTTCCATGTCGATGCTGCTTTCTTGAGGAAAGAGGTGCAAATTCAGAAATTACTAGAGAATGAAGTGTTCAGCTTTGAAAGAACAGATGTTTAACAATCATCTACTCCACTCTTAGCTAAAACCCCAGAATTAACTTATTGAGATGTCAATGATGATTGATAGCCGAAGTCTTTAAGTTCCTGCCAATAAACACAGTCTTTCTAGAATTAACAATGTACGTAAGTCTGTTTGCCAGCAGTAAGCTTCAGGTAGATCATGATATGGTGAAACATCAATATGCTCCCTATTTGCAGAGCCTAGATGCCAGTATATTTATTTGCCCAAACTTAATGCTGTATTTATTGAATGACATGTTTCTAAAAACATCTGAAGCAATGTCTTTCTCTTTTAACAGGGCAATAAATGTGTTCATAAGTGCCAACCGACTAATTCATCAAACCAACTTGATACTCCAGACCTTCAAAACTGTGGCCTGAAAACTGTATATGTTTAGAGTTGTACTTTTAATTGGTGGATAGGGTACCTTTATATGTAAATTTTAAAGTTTTGACTGTATAAATTATCAGCCCCTCTTGAGGGGCCTAATGCAGGATTTTGAATGGGATTATTGCCATCTTACACCATATTTTTGTAAAACATTGTAGCTTAATCATAATCTCACAATGAAGATTTTTGCATCACTTTTTGCTATTATCATTCTTTTCAGAATTATAAGCCAAAAGAATTTACGCCTTAATGTGTCATTATGTAACATTCCTTATAAGAATTGTAAATATTTGGTGTTCTGTTTCTGACATTTTAACTTGAAAGCGGAAAACTGCAAGATTATGTATTTAACAATACTGGTGGCAAATATTCAATAAATAGTTTACATCTGTTAGACTGTCTTTTTGTATGTGAACAAAGATGCATAACTCGTCTTTCTGGAAGTGCAGAACATTCATTAAATGGAAAAATGAAAATTACTTCGATGCTTAAAGGTACTGGCAGCTCAAATGAGTATAGAATTGAGGGGTTTTCCTTAAAAGTGAGATTTTTGGCTCTGTTCTAATACTAGACCAGAATACCAGATTCCGTTAATGTCTTTGACGAAATAATAAGGAACTCCAGAAGTGGGATACACTTTTGGTTTTGATGGAAACCAAACGTCACTTATTTATTAATCTTCTGTTGGTGGTGAGTTAACAGGTTTTTACTCCTAGACTATTCAAAGGTTTTGAGCAGAGGATTACTTAAAATACATGCAGCAGAGGGTGCATGTATTAAGAATATTAAGATCATTCTGGTTTACATGGATACCCTTTTGGGAGGGAGGAGGAGAGAAAATAGAACTCTTCCAGGTAGCACTAGCGATGTCTATACTATGCATGCCATAAGGCAACTTTTTTTTCAGGGAATAATGAAATCATCTGAGACCTCGATTGACAACACTTCCCACTGTAGATGGTTAAGAACTGCTGATGGGCAGATTAAAATTTTATTACTGTGATTTCATGGTAATATTTCACAAGTTCTAATGAGTATCTTGCATGCCCCTTTGAAGTGCACCTTGAGTTTATTTTAAATAGAATCTTTGTTAGAATAAACCTCTGAAAGCTTTCAAAGTATTTATGTGGCCATAACTAGTAAGTTTAGGAAAGAATGTGAAGCAGTTAATAAAAGCTGCACAAACTGTTGCAAGAAAATGACTTCAGACTGAAAGAGCACAATTGTTACAGAACTATTCCTTGTTTAGGTATAAATGATGAAGAAAAGTTACATCCAGACTTTTTTCACACACCTGTCTGGTGCTGTATTGCTTGTTTGTGTCAAGTGCCTTATCCAGAGTACAACAGATGGGTCTTTGAATTTGGTTATCTGCTTAAATGATCCAAAAGGGGAAAATGCGATCTGCAGCCCTCCAGAATGGCACTGGATGTTCTGCTGTATGTCTGTGCATGGGAATGTTTCTTTGATGAAAGTACTGACTGTAGTGAAATAACAATGTGAAGGAGAAAATTATGTAAAAATGAGTTCTTGACAATGTGTGTCGTGGATTTCTCAGTTACATGAAGCTGTGAACAGGACGTAGTCCTTAAAGCTTGCTGTTTTCTGTTGAGGCTGTTTTCTGTTTTGACGGTGTCTTGTGTTTACTAGCAAATTGAGCTTAGTAATATGACAAAGGGATGCATATACAATTTATAGCTAAAACTTTGTTATTTATTAAAGCTTGGCATGCTAAACTCATTTCTTGGAAAGTGGTAGAAGAGAAGCAATGTTAGCAGTTACTAAGGAGGTAGGCTGACTACATTTGAGCAATGTTTAATTTGCATCTTTGAATTCTGTAAGTAAAAAGGTTGAGTAGTCTTCCTTGCAGATTATGTTAACTTAAGTCGTAGCAGCAAAGGGCTTCATGAAGACTAATTACTCCTGTAGAAGAAAGGGAAACGGACTCAGAGTTTCTGATACTTCGTTTGTCTTGAAAAGAGCACAGGGAAGACTGCACCAGTGCCTGTATGGGGAGACATGAAATCTTGGCTTGTATTTTGTGAATTCGGCTTAATTCTAGTAAAATTTGGAGGTTTTTCTATCTTCTTGGATTGGGATGGTCAGTATCTAGTGTTGGCAATCACTAGTTGAATAAGACTATGTCTGTGAGTATAATAAATAAAATAAATAAATGAAAAAAAAAAAGCCCTTTATGACTTCGGTCCGAGCAAGATGCTGTGTTACGTCCTAGTAATTGATCCTTGAAGTTAAAATCAAAGAGGTTATCAAGAAATGAACTGTAGCTGTTCATCATCTTTTCCTAAAACCTTTATTGGGCAAAAAGTACCAAGTATGGGGCTAAGCTTCAGGTAGTCTGGCCAATATGTTTTATTTGTAACCTTATTGTGCTTTGTTTATGTTGCCCTTAAGAGCAATGGAAAATGACTCATTGTAATCAATGTCTGGTAATGGGAAAACTTGAAAACTGATGTCTTCAGGTCACACTCCTGTGTGCAGTGAATCCATATCTACTGGTCTTACAAACTTTTATTTTCCACCGAGTATGAGCTGGGTATATGTCAAATTTTATTGTGGTTTTGCACTTTATTCAAGTTACCTGACTAGCGAAAGATGAGTTTCTCTTAAGGATTTCTAATACAGCAGTTAGTATTGCAAAATTCTATTAGAAAATTTCTGCTGTGAATGTGGGTTATTGATACAATAATGTTAACATACCGAAAACCAATCTAATAAAATAAAACTTTGTATATTTGTTAATGAAGCAAAGAAATGTCTTAATCGCTTGCTTTGATCTTTCTCAGCCTATAGAGAAATGAAGAAAAGCTTAGATTGGCTTATTTCTGGTTAGAAGCTTCTGGTTTGAATCCTGATAAAAAGTTCTGTTTAGAAGTCTGTAAGAAGTGCCAGGTGCCAAGCACAATGTAAGCTTTATCTTGAGTTGACATAAAGTGGTAAGTATGAAATTTCATGGTGTTCTGGTGTCAGAACTTCCATTTATCCAGACAGTAAGATAGCATCAGCCTTGATTAAGCATTATCTTTTTGTGTTATTGCCACTGAAGTGGTCCTTAATTTTCTTTTCAGATTTTTTGCTGTATGTCAAGGGAAGGTGTGCCTTGTTTATTCTGCAGGTAGTATCTGCTCTCTTTATTTTACAAAAAGACTCTGTATGCTTCTCTGAATTAGGTGGGGAATGAAAAGGTTATCTAGACAAACTTGCCACAAATACACGTTTTAGATTATTCCATTATGAAAGGGAGATTAATGTAATTTAATGCATGCAATACTAATAACTGGATTTGGTACAGCAGTGATTATCACCTTTGGAGCAGGCACTGGCTATTCTGGTTGAGAATACTGCTTTGCTGTGCTCTGCCTGGCTCATCTTCTTGCAAGACTAACCCATGCCTTTCAAAAAAGATACTGCAGGCAGTTTCTGCTTGTGAGGCGTGGGAACCCTTTGAACTTTGCATATTGTAGTATCGTAGAACGGTTTGGGTTGGAAGGGACCTTAAAGATCATCTAGCTCCAACCCCCTGCCATGGGCAGAGACACCTTCCACTAGACCAGGTTGCTCAAAGCTCTGTCCAACCTGGCCTTGAACACTTCCAGAGACTGGGGTATTCACATCTCTGGGCAACCTGTTCCAGTGCCTCAGCACCCTCACAGAAAAGAATTTCTTCCTAATACCTAATCTAAATCTCCCCTCTCAGTTTAAAGCCATTCTCCTACGTCCTAATAATGGTGCATTTACTCACTTTGTCATTTCTCATTCCATTGTGTTGGTATTCCTCTAGGCAGATGTTACTTTCAAAAGAGACTGTTGGAAATGTGCTTCAGCAACAGAACCACTTCCTAGCAGCAAACTTAGTGCTAAAAATTAGGACTGAAAGATGCTCTTGGGTCTTCAAGTTTCATTTCCTGTTGCAGAGGATAAAAAGCACCATATAGTGTTGGTCATAAATCTGTCAAATTCTATTGTAAAGCCAGCTTATGTCCTCATTCCTCCTTTCATTTTTAAATGGTCCAAAAGAAAAAAAAAAATTCAAATACTCAATTTTAATATGCAATGTAAATGTAATTTATGATGGTAGAATTCAATAACCTTGTCCACAATCAGTAGTTCTGTTTCCCTCTTCTTCACTCAGTCTTGGGATGAATTGTATACCACCTTGAACTTTATTTCTCAAAGGTGGAAGATCCCAAGATTTTGGTCCTTTCTAAAGTGTGCAGAGGTATTAGGCAATGCTAAATTTGCTCCTTTGAGGCTGGGAGAAAATGATTTGCCCTCATACTTGTTATACAAGCTTGAATTTTTCCAGCAATATTCACAGTCGATTGTTATCTCTGATGCAGAGGAGGAGAGTTTGCCTCATCTAGAGATTTCTGTGGAGGTGATGTCCTTAGATTCTCTGTCCTTGCCTCCTGCCTCAGCTTGGTTATGATTTTGTATACATAGTGCTTGACTTCTGAGACAATGCAAAATGCTTCTGACTAGGTATGATGCATGGCAATTGTTTGCTGGATGGCATAGCATCTCTTCCATAACTTACTATTTTTGCACCTAGTCCTCCTTCAGCCCCATCCCACTGTGGGTGCTATAACAGCTCAGGAAGCAGAACCCATATGCTGTGGGGTCTATAGCCAGCACATTGTCATGAAAAGAACTCATATAATGGAGAGGGAGAAGCTCTTCACTAGGTACCTACACCAGGGCTGATTCCTAGGTGATTGTGTCATTCACCTCTCTAGCATATATTGCATGCTGTCTTCACAACTATTTTTGCAAAATCTGTGAAAGTACATGGCTTTTTTAATGCCCATTGTAAGGATGAGGTGTGCAGCTTGGCAATGTTCAAGGTGCAAGAATTATTTGTACCCATGCATTGCAGTCATTGTAAAAAGCTTGGACTGTGCTAACAATACCTGGATACTATCAGAGTATATGAATAAAGGGTTTAATCTCTTCCCCTTCTCTGCCATCTTGCAGGGCTTCTTATCATAGATCGAACTGTGCTAAGGTCAGTGTGACTTTACCTGCAGCATATGCAGTAAGAATTTGCAATTTATGAGTCTACCATTCCAGAAAACGTGTGTTGTTGGGTAAAGATTAGTTTGGTCAGAAAATTTCAGTTAAAAGTTTGTCTTTGGTTAGACACTGCTATTTCTATTCCTTTGAAATTTCTTTCTTGCTATTAAAGATTCAGAGGTGCTTCTTTTTTTAAGCAGTTACCGAAAGCGGCTGTGGTGGGAGGTTTAGCTGTTGTTGTAGGGGCTGTTGGGGATTGTGCCACTTGTGAGCACCAAGAGAAAGAGAAGGAAAAGACTGAGCGTTGTGAACGTTAAACAGTTCTCACCCTAGAGACAAAAGTGTTCTACTTGCTAAAT